CATGGATGCTTAGCATTTCAATGATACATGATATAACTTACATCCCATCCATGAATGCATGAGTACTCACACTAGCACTTTTTCCCTTACTTCTGTCCGCAATTGCGGTCAGATGAAAGCTTACACGTCCCTCCGTAAATGCGGTCAGATACATTTATGTTAGTGCTGGTGTGTGAGTACACCCTTAGCTTTTCGGTGTGACATCCCTTTTCTACTTGGCGTTTCCGGTGGCACCCTTCTGCCTGGAGAAACAGAATGGTGACGCTGTGAAAGTGAGCCGTCTGGCCGAACCAGCATTCTTGCCCCAAGGAAAAGTCATGACCCATCTTGCTCAGTAGTATCCTTCCACTCAAGACCATATCGAGCATAAGGGGGCTGTGATGTCTTGTGAGATGACATGTCATAGGTGAATCGGTATGTGAATGCATATGCTATTATGCTTGCACAATGCGCAGATCCCGCTGATGAAGTTCATCGACGAGCTGTGCTTCATCCCAATAGAGCGTAACGTTGGCAATTTCTGGTCCGGCATTAGTGCCGTTAGCTTAGGGATACCTATCGCCTGATGGCGCAGAGTGTCATGCCTTGTGTAGATAAGTGTTGGAAACCACTAACCGCAGATGCTGTTCAATTTCTGACACGGAAAGGGGGCTCGACCCATGTGATGTAACCCACTCCCCGCGACGAGGACTTTCTACAGTCATGTACATTTGTACTGGCCTTCTTCCCTGCGGAATTATGTGTGTGTGTGTGTGTGTGTGTGTGTGTGTGTGTGTGTGTGTGTGTGTGTTGTCATATTCGCTATACACTCAAAAAAAGCATGACTGTACCAGACTGTTTCGTCGGACTTTCACCGACTCATAAGGAGGTTGAACCCCGACAGTCTGCCCAGGATGCATTTGACGGACAGATAAGGACTCACCATATCACCCAGAGTTAGCAATACCCCTGAGAAAAGTGTGTGTGTGTGTGTGTGTGTGTACAAAATGTAAGCATAACATATCAACTCGAAACACGGGAACCTCCACATAGATCCACTCACATACTGTTTGCTCTGCACCCCCCATCCGTAGGATTGACTCACTCCCCAAACCAACAATCCCTGCAGACAAGACCTAAGGAATATAGCGGGCACCTCGAAAAAGAGTAGGTGGGATAGATAGTGAAGAAGGAAAGAGAGAGGGAGAAGGGGGAACATTGATGGTGTAGCCACCGTTGTTGGCATAGTAACCAACGCAGCAACCCCTGTCCACAGCAGATGAGGAGGAGGAGGAGGACTCCTCGAGGAGAGAAGAAGAAAAGAGAGCGGTGATGGCATAGCCATCGACGTTGGTGTAGTAACCAACAGAGGAGGGATGACACATCGCCTAAAGCATTTGTCAATGCTTGCTCCCGTCATGCCCATGGAATGTCATGCAAAGGCCACTAAGACAAAACATATTGAGACGAACAATGACGAGGCAAGAAGGCATTGGACTACATGCGGTTGCACGTGACATAGGGTGGAGGACATGGGGGAGGGGGGTGGGCAGACAAGCATAATAGAGCGGCAAGGGAAGAGGCACAAAGTGCACGTACCAAGTCCAGAAACAAAAAGTTAAAAAAAAACAGAAACTGATGATGACAGACTTTTTCGTCAGTCTTTCACCGCTTCATCAGGAGGCTGAACCCTCGACAATCTGCGGAATCTCCGTATTTGATGGTTTGGGTAAATGAACTCTTTGACCCTTGTTGAAGAAGGCAGACTGTCCCCAACCAGAACACAGCAGCGGGCAGCAACCCACCGAAGCACCAGGCAATGCTGAAGAGGCATCACGACTGCTGGACACCAAAGACGACTGCAAGGAACGACATGGCAAGCGGATGATCAGCACAGCGACCGTGCAGTGAAGCACAAGGCAACACAAGCAAGGCAGCTAAACGGTACGACAGACAAACAAATGACACGGAAGGAACGGCACGCGGACGAGGAGCAAGGCCGCAGCGAAGCACAAGGCAACACCAATACCACATCCACACCACATAGAGAACACAACAGCTTACAAAGAACCACATGCAAAGCAAGCAGGACGAGAGAACACAACAGCTTATGAAGAACCGCATGCGAAGCAAGCAGGACGTGCAGCAAGGCAGCGGCGGGGCGCAGACAAGGCAGTCCATACATCCAACACGGAGTAAAGCGGCACATCACCTACTCACATCACCATTGGACCCGCAGACTGTTGGTTCCCACCACCCACTGAGCCAGGGAGTGAGCCAGTCCGAGGAACGTCTGTCATCATCCATGGAACAGAGACATCACGAAGAAAAGCCCCCCTAATAGTGCTGTGGGCACTCCAAAGAGGGAATGACTGACTGTTTGGCACCATCTGAGGGTGCTCAATAAGACAAACTTGAAAGTACTTAGAAGGCTGTACATCAAAAGAGAAAGATATACATAAGGAAACCAGATAAGAAGGCATGCAGAAAACTGATTGTTTGTATCTGTGTGTGTGTGTGTGTGTGTGTGTGTGTGTGTGTTTTGTCATATTCACTATACACTCAAAAAAAAGCATGACTGTGCCAGTGTGTGTGTGTGTGTGTGTGTGTGTGTGTGTGTGTGTGTGTGTGTGTGTGTGTGTGTGTGTGTGTGCGTGTGTGTATGTGTTTGTGTGTGTGTGTGTGTGTTGTCCCCACACACACGCATGCACACACACACACACGGGGAATTGTTGGGGGGGAAGGGGGGGGGTTCCCTTTTTTCTAAGTTTAATCGTGCAGGGGTGTTCGACTACATACCCGAGCCCNGTGTGTGTGTGTGTGTGTGTGTGTGTGTGTGTGTGTGTGTGTGTGAAGACACAAATAGTTAATCTTCTGCACAGTATAAGACCATGCACTGTATCACCACAACACTCCAAGAGGAAAGCACGCATCTGAGTGAGTGAAGTAAAAACACAATCCTTGAAGTCACATTGTATACAAAAGGCACAATGAAAAGTAGCGAGGCGCAAAAAAGGAAAACAAGGGAAAAAAAAAAAGAAAGTCCCAGAGTCCAAAAAAAAAAACACAATGCAGTTACTGTGAGAGCAAGCGGCCCTGTCTCTTTTTTTTTTCTTTTTTTTTCAATTAGGGCCCAGTGCCCAAGGCTCCATTATAATCAGGACTGGAACCGGGCCCAGCATCCCTCACAACAAAGCAGGCAACTCTGCCATCCGCACCGCCGTGCCTAACGGCCGACCCCATAGCCGAACTCAACACCTGCGATTCACGGTCGGCCATTTCCAATCCTGTTCGATCCCTCCTACAAGGTCGCTCACTGCCCCTCCACGGTGAGGCCTTCACAGAGCGATACTCCCATAACTTCCTCAACCTTCCACTGCAGACCCCTCTCTCACAAATAATGGTGAAGAATGGTCAAGAAGACTAACCATCCTTCATTCAACATTGTAGAGCCAGTATCTCCTACCAGGGGCCCTCGCATCAGCCCGGGTTGTTGTTAAAAAAAAAAAAAAAAAAAAAACTCTCTGTACAGACTGTACAATCATTTGCCACAATTTCTCGAAAAAGAAAAGTGAATCAAACCTAACAAACTTGGTGGCCATCTAAAGCGACAACCAATCAAATATAGTGCCCAGTGCCTATGTGAAAGCATGCCACTCAAAGATGGCGCCGCGATGATCTAATAAGGTGATGCCGCATTGTACACAATGATTTCACAAGCAAATCATCGACGAAACAAACACAGAAGACAACTTCAGGATTTCCAGATCCAATTAGAATAAAACGCGAAGGATGAGATATTGATATTCCTTCTCTCTCTACAGTGTTCCAACCAGAAGCAGCTGCATCCAATAAAACATCAACTAAGTGATCATCTAATAGGTTTACTTCATCAACATAAAGAATACCTCTATTGGCTTTAGCCAACAATCCGGGTTCAAAAGGAAGACAATAGTCAGGTTGAAGGAGGAAAAAAGCAGCTCCCGGCCGCCCAAAAATGACAAGAGAGAACTGCCCTTCGACACAAGTGCTGAGCGCTCCAGCCAACATCCTACAGCACCAGAATAGCATCAGCATAAGGGGATTACCAGTCCCTCTGAAAGTAAACAGACAACAACAAAGTCACTCCCTGCCTCCAATCTTCCCAGCACGAACAAAGCCACCACTTCCCCACCAACAAGCCAATACCCCCCCTACCCCTCGTAAACACCGACCACCCGTAAACACTGCCTCAAGCATGAATGAAGGCGAGCAGTTGCAATCCACCAGGTTGTGCGACGGTTAACAGCACAGCGACCGATAGTCGCCATGGAGGCGTAACATCAGTCAGATAAAGCGTGATGACAATGAAAAATAGAAGGTGTGCCAAAAGTTGTTCTGGTAAAGTCTGGCGACAAACAGAACCCGATAGCGACCCCAAAAAAAAGAAAATCGATCAATATGCTCGTCAGCCCCAAAGCAGAGGAGCATGAGAAACATTCATCTCAGCCCAAACTCAACGGAACACGCAACGGTGACAAACAGCAACAAGCAATATAAGCAGCATCACCACCACCTCTCGGACGCATGACATGACAGCAAACCGATCGGCGGCAACGATCAAGATCCCTTCACTAATCAAAAATCACTTAAAAAGCACGTACAGATACCGAACAGCAGTCTGCAAATAGCCGTGCACCAATAAGCAGAAGCGGAACTTTCAGCTACAGAGCATTCTACATGTATCTGGACAGGCACTTTGACCAAATGCATTCCACTTTCAAGTCACACTTGCAAAGAGCACGTACTCACACCAGACCTCCCGCGAATAACAAATTTAAACAAAACCAATAAACGCCAATCCACATCATTGCACACTTGCCTTTGTCGGTTCGAAAACACTCAGCCTCCGACCTTTCAGGAGGCCGAAACGAAATGACGGCCGTCGATCAGATTGATCAACGTCGGTCTCGGCCTCCTGAAAGTTCGGGTACTGGGCAGGACTTGTCGAAACCGGACGCCAAAGGACCTAGTGGTTTAATGACTGGGGAAAAAATTCATTCCACAAACAGTGTGCGTACAATCTTGCACATGGCACTACATAGTACAAACACAAGAAAATTAAAGGTACATCTCAAAGTGGCTCTGTCTCCTGTCTCTCCTCTTTCTTTCATGGAAGAAAGGAAGGTAAAAGTCAGGAAACCCTAAATCCAAACAAGCCCAAAACGGAAAGGGTGAAAAAACCTGCAATCCCCACAGTAAGTTGAACTGCAATTACAGTGGCAACGGGCAGTTGCATCCGTCCTCCTCCTCGAGTTTCCCCCTCGTCATGCATGGTCAGCATCATCACTCTGATCATACTTAGTCAATTTATGGCTCGTCCCTTCGTCTCCAATGGCAGAAAGTAGACGCCGATTGCGGCAAGACCAGGGACCGCAGCAAGGAGAATGAGGGCAAGCTGCAAATGACAAGTCCGGACAAGCTCAACAGCAACAAACGGGCAAACCAGACCGCCTATTCGCGCAAAGCCATTAGCGATGCTGAGGCCAGTCGTTCGAGCCCTGCTCGGGTAAACCTCCGGGGCATAGAGGTAAGCGACTGTGAAGCAACCCATGATGGCACCACGGGCGAAGAACAGGTAAAGGGCCACCAAGCTGGGTCTCAGCGAGCCGGATGTCCCAATCAAGGGTAGAAGAGAGAAGGTGGAAGCTGCAAACATGGACATCATTACCTGCTTTCTTCCCACAGTGCGGACAGCAACAGCAGCAATCAGAAGCCCTGGAAGCTCTCCCAGGCTGCTAATGACTACATCACGGTATCCCTGATCACCACCGTTCCCCGATGGCTCGTCCGATAACGAGGACCGTTGGATGGATGCCGCACAGCGGATCAACTCTTTTCCCCGCTCGCCTCGACTGTTGGCGTCAACACCATGAAGAGCAGGTGCAGCAGTCGCAGACTCTGCAAATCCATAAATCCCCGACAATGGTTGCATCCCGGCACCATTAGGAACGGCCCCTAGCCCTTGGTGGGGTGCAATCTGGATGCTGGAGTGAAAGTCAAGGTTTCCCGCAGCCCATTGATGCTTTGCGGGCTCATTGCAGTGCACTGCATCTGCTGCTGGTGCTCCAATCCCAGCCAACTGGGAAGTGATCAAAATTAGACCGTAGTAGGTGAATGCGTTAGCGAAGAAAATGGGCCACAGTATGAGTGTTGTCCGCCGAACACCTGACGAGAATAGTACGGCGACCGTTGATGTCCACTTGTTCGCGCCCTGGGCAACCCCCCTCTCATTTCCATCTCCTCCTCCATTGGAATCCAGCTGCAGCAGTAATTGTTCCTCCAAGCCCAATTTGTCATCGAATGGCTCTTCCTCTTCCTTCAATGCTGGTGCCATTACCTGATCGTAGTATGGTGTAGCTCTCGGGTGCGTCGCAAACTCTGTCGAGGAGGTGTCCGTCTGCCCCGAAAACGACTTCGACATAATATATGTGGAGTCCGCTGGTGCCTTGCCAGTGGCATCCGGCTCCCTCACTCTCGTCCCCACTCCCCTTTCCGGTCGATGCCCTGTTGCCTGCAAAGGACTGAGGGCGTTCAACACAGGCTGAGCTCTCCCCTGCTCTATCATATCTTCAACGCCAGGAGTACAGTACCCTTCGTTGGTTTCGCTGGAAATCTGAGTACAGCTGGTGCCGCTGCCCGATCTGCGAAGCTCGCAGCTGTCAGTGACAGTCCCTGGCAATTTCTGCTTGCTTCTGACAACCTTGGGAACCATGTTTGTTGACGCTCCAGTGACCTCCCCGCCCTCCCCGCCCTCCCCGGCCTTCCCCCCCTCCCCGTAGGGTTCGCTTTGGTGACTCTGTTGGAGGGGTGCGTTTTTCGAAGGGACCAAGGACAACCCATTTGGGAGCTCCTTGCCATTGACCCGAGCTATACGCGTCAGTATCTGCAAAGCCCGCGAAGAGCCCTCGGGCCTGCCGATCAAGAACCTTGGGGACTCGGGAACAAAAGGAGAGAGACCTAACACCATGCCCGTCGGAATGGCCGAGAAGGCGAGCAGCCATCTCCATCCTAAGGATGGCATTACCGCCCACGCCAGCAGGGCTACTAACACCGACCCAACCGTCCAGAATCCCGCCACAGCGACAAGCCAAAACCCTCGATCTACAGTCGGTAGGAACTCCATGAAAAGAGCGAAAAGGACCGGTCCACCGGCTAGACCTACCCCTACAAGGGCCCTACTCCCTGCAAGAAACCAGTATGAGGGTGACAAAGCGGACACGACAGCAGCAAAGAGGAGGAGGGATGCTGACCCTATCAATGTCCGCTTTCTCCCTAGCACATCGGCAACAGTCCCCCAGGTATAGGATCCAATCATCATGCCAGCGAAGACAGCAGTAGCTAGAAGACCTTGCTCCCCGGCAGCAAGGCCCCATTCACTCTGAGCAGCTGGCCCAACGAAAGACATGATAGTAGCTTCCGTCGCCTCTCCCATCCATGCCAGCCCAGCAAATACAAACAACGCCATTTGGAACCGCCCAAATCCAATCGCATTAATCGCATCATCAACGGTCATCACCGCTTCACTCTCCGTCTCTTCCTCCTCCGTGCTTGCTCCACCTCCCTGCTCCTGCGCAATTCCACAAAAGTCCTCCTTCTCCTCCACCTTCTCACCCGTATCCGTTCCTGTAACGTCCCACCCATCCACCTCGAACACGTCGCCGCCGCCCTCCCCACTCTTCTTTCTCTTTGACCACGTCAGCGCCCCATGATTGGACACGTTCCAATCTCTGCCACCGGTATCACCATCAATCTGACATCCACGGCGGTAGGGATCTCCGCCAATGCCTGGATTGGCATCCATTCCCCAAATGGACTCGGAAAAGTTATGCACTTTTGCCAATCTGTCTCTCATCCACCTTTGGCTCGGCTTTCTGCACTGCTTGACCAGCACCGGCCCAGAAGCCACTGCCCAAAAAACAAACGAAAAGGACGACGTTGAACGTCCACATTTTTCGAACACTCCAACAAGGACTGGTCCTTTCCATCACAAAAGAACTTACATATGAGGAACTCTTCTCATGGCGTGCGTGAGCATGCTCACGCCAGGTTTTTCGCAAGGCTGCCAGACAACCTGGCTATGGCCTTTTTGCATGCCTAATATTAAATTGCACAAGGTTTCTTCACGACTCTTTCAGTTCTTTTTTTTTTTTTTTTTTTTTTTTTTCGGGACTATTTCTCGATTCAATCTTTATCTACGACTACGCTTTCCATCTTCATATGCTAGATTCAATCTTCATCTACGACTACCATCTTCACACGAATAGAATGCCCGCTCACTATATCTGTATTTGGAGCAACTCTCAGTCTAGGATACAGCGATAATGACCGTGTGTTCTATTCGGGTGAAGATGGTAGGAGTCAGTCGAGCCGCTAGCCACTGCATCAGATGCTGCACCTCTTCAATTTCTTGCTCCTTATGCAGGTTGAGCTATGGGAGGATTTTTCCGAGACAATGAGAAAATTGTGCACGCTAATTTTTCCCCCAGTGCCACCTTCGTGGGAGCCTGGATTTCCAAATTGGTGCAAAGGAAATTCGAACAAAAGGAAGGATGAAGTTGGAATCGCTAGTAATCGCAGATCAGGCCGAAGCCGGGTAATGGCACTAATGCCTTATATCGTTCTGCCTATTCTCATAAGGGACGCTGGGCCCCGGTTCCCAGCACGTGTTGCTCCCATGAATAGACTGGAGCAGTGTTTTCATTAAACCACAAGTACCTCCGAGCCTGTTTTTGCCGACCCTGATTTTCACTGCGCTCACCATCTCGTATTTTCCCAACACTGGGGAAGGTAGTGGTGGTTTAAAAAAAAAAATAAAAAAAATGGTGGCCGTGGCATGTTTTGAAACCCTAAAGGCGAAAAAAACTCGCGCCAGCAAAGAAACCATGCGCCAACTTGAAATGAGCGATTTCGGTCCAAGTATCTCATTGGGATTTTTTTTTATTTTTTTTTTCCTCTGACACCACGGCGCTGACCCCTGTAAATAAATATGACACCCGGTCTGACACCACGGCCGTCGGCGCTTCCATCACCTTATCGAAATCGGCGCGGTTTTCTTTGCTGACGCGTGTTTTGCCCATTTGATACTCAAAAGTGACAACGAACGTACTTACCTCAAAAAAAAAAAGTGATCGCAAATCAGCATGCCGCAGCGAATATGTTCTCGGGCCTTCCTTGTACACACCACCTGTCACACTACACACCACCTGTCACACCAAGGTACTTACAAGCCCTCTGCGCCATTCGAAAATCTAGAGATTCAAATGGTTCACCCGTTGCACGGATTGCTCACCCGGTTTAATACCGGGTTTAGGGTCTCGTTAGACACTCCTAAAAGAATCCTAAAATTTATAGGACGAGTCCTAAAGGTTTTTTAGGATTTCGTGCGGCGTCGTTACACGCAGTCCTAAAAATCATCTTCTAGGACTCATCCTAAAAGGTTCCCCGCGGCCCGTTTTCATACGCGTATACGTAGCCGCGCCGCCGATGTCCGTCCATTCCTCGGCGGTGTCCGTGGTACAGAATGCGGTGGGTCTTGGGCGGGAGTCGACGGATATGTGAAACGCGCGGTTCCCCAGAACTTCAAAATTTTGAATTCGAATTCTCGCGGACGCGTGCGCCGTGAAAAAGACGGCGCCTCCCTGCCGACGCGTGTGACCTGAAAAAGACGGCGCCTCCCTGCCGTTCGCCGCGCAGAATCCATCTTTCGAGTGTACACAACTTGCGAGGAGCGTGCGCATGATCGTGTGAGCCACACGTTCGCCTCCGGCGTGCGTACCGTCCTTTGGAAGCGTGGAGCACCGGACGCGTGTCCGTCTCGTGTGCCATTGTACAGCAGCGTTGCCATCGTGGACTCCGACGTTGTTTCTCTACGACGGCAGGGTTCCGCGGCGGGCGTGTCTGAGGCGGTTGTCGAAGGCGTGACGTGGCAAACCGTGCGAGGATTGGCAGAGATGGACAGTCATGGCTGCTCAAACGGTCGACGCGACGAAGAGATCGACGCCGTGGCGATGGCGGTGACTGCCGTTGTCGTGAACACGATGGGCGACAAGTAGTCCTCGCCGTGCGACATGCTGACGCGGCTCCGGTAACGAAGACCTGTTGCAGAGCGTTGCAGAGGCGTCGGATTGCGCGGGGACATGTGAGGCAGTCGTCCAGTTGTGTGCCGCGGTGACGTCTGGCGTTTTCCCGCGGCAGACTCCGCGATGGTGGGACAAACGACGGACTGGCGAGACATGGGAGGACCTTTGGCTTCGAGACGACGCGACGGACGAGTACTTCCGGCAGAAGCTGCGCATGTCGACGGCCATGTTCAACCACATCGTAGCCGCGTGCGCCGCGTACATGGAGAAGAAAGTGATGCACTATCGAATGCCATTGCCAATGGAGCAGCTGATTGCTTTCGCGTTATACAGGTGGGCGTCCGGAGAGATGTACGAGAGCGGCACGTCAGCATTTGGCATCGACAGGGCAACTGGACTGCAGGCCGTCCGCGTCGTCATTTTGGCGCTGCTGCAGGCGTACCCCGACGCGATAAAGTGGCCAATGGGCAGGAGACGTGCGCAGATTCTGCGCGCTTTCCGTGAGAAGGGTTTCCCAAACTGCTTCGGCGCTATCGACTGTACACACATCTACATTGACAAGCCTGCCGGCGCACCTTCCGAGAACTATTACGACCGCAAACAGAAGTTCTCCGTGCAGGCGCAGGTGGTCGTGGATTTGGATTTGCGGATCCTCGACGTCCACGTCGGATACCCTGGAAGTGTGCACGACGTCCGTGTCCTGCACGATTCCCAGTTGTTGAGGCGTGCAGAAAGTGGCGAGCTGTTCGACGCAACTCCGGAGAATTTGCCGCATGGTGTCGTCACGCGAGGCTACCTGCTGGTCGACAACGGTTATCCAGTTGCCTGTCCGTGGATTGTGTCGCCGTACGGAGGAATCGACCAAGGTGCTGACGAGGAGCGCTTCGACACGCGGCAAAAGGTGGCACTGGGGTGTGTGGAGAGGGCATTCGGCCGACTCAAGTGCATGTGGCGTCTGTTCTTGCGCACCCATAAGACGAACCTAGAGACCTTGCCACAACAATTCGTGGTTGTCTGCACTCTCCACAATATCCTCCTGGACGCGGGGATCGACTTCGACGAGAACCTTCTGTGGGAGGTGAATGCAAACGACGTTCGGCATGTGGGCTTGGGCATTGTGGGGAACGGCGCAGGTGGGCGGGGACGGTGCACGAATGTGGAAGGTGAATTGTTGAGGGATGCACTGCGAGACCGCCTAGCTTTGATGTAGGACCGTGCGGTAGGGAGGTGGTGCACACGGGGTGGTTCGATCGGTAGGCGGCTGGAGTTATTACGTGGTCCGTGTCCATGGTCGTAGTGCGCGTGGTTGGTTGGTCGATGGAACAGCGGCATGATTGTCGTCGACGATTTCATATTATCGTTTTCATGCTGTTGATGGCTACCTGGTTCGCACAGTTGTGCGAAGTTTAAAGATTGGAAGAACCTTTTTTTTGCCAGTGTGTGTCCTCGTCGTTAGGAGTTTTTGTCTTGTTATATATGTTTCCTGTCTTCAAATCGTTTGTGATGAACGGTGTCGTGCGATGGGAAACACGGTTGTTGCTGTTGCTTTTTTTTTATTATTCTTTTTTTTGTTTTTGGAAATGTTGATTATCTTTATTTTTTTTCGGTGCATATCTTCATTTCCGTTTCCATGACCGGTTTCGTGTGCTGTTGTGGTGGGATGACATGTACAACAAGCTTCTATACGATCCCGTCATGCATTCTCTCAATCTGTGATCATCGCATGTCTATTGCATGTCGTGAAGCCAATACGAAGAACAAGAACAAGTGAAACGCAGACAAGGACACTGCATGACACGCACAACATTTGTGTCCCATAAAAGACATGACCACATTCATGACACCGACATATGACAGAGTCATGAGAGTTGTCACACACATCGCAAAAAGGCAAACGACAATCAACCGCCATGCGCTTCAAATCGTCCGATACAACGAGGAGCACCATGCATTGATAAAACAACCACGTGCGCTGAACGCAGAAAAAAAAAAAAAGAAAAAAAAAAGAAAAGGTGCAAACCATTCATCCCGTGCTGGCGCTTCTGGCCGCACACTAAATACCTACGCCACTGTCGAAGATTCAGCCGAATCCCTCCGGCCAACACGCTAACCACCGAAACTACAATGACACTATCGAACTGAATCAACCACGTGCTTATGCCACGGGTGACACAGTAAACCTGTGCACAATGACGACGGAGGACTCTGGCGAATCCCGGCGGCCCACACGCTAATCAGCTGCGCCACGCACGACACTCCAATCACACGACAGCCCGTCACGTCTCGCCACGCGTACATGCGCCTTCGTTCTTAGAAGCGTTGTCTCCCCGCTCTCCCCCCCCATACCAGCCTGCCTTATGCATCGTCTTTTCCTTCGCCTTTGATGTCATCATCGGCGGGGTCCGAACCCAACCAATCCAGCCTGTTCGCATCCTCCGGCCTCTTGATGGTCGCGTCGTGCGCAAATCTGATGTCGCATGGTGCCCAATCAGGGATGTAGTCGGGGTACACTCCGAGCGTGACTTTCGCCTTCCCAAGCCTCTCCGTGACGACGTTCGCGGCGCGGACGACGGATCGTCGATGATCGAAGGACCGATGCATGGAGGCGATTAGTGTCGGCCTGGCGACGAGATCCGCGAAGTAAAATGCTTCGTAGTGACTGCGCGGATCATCTCCCGCCATGCGCATAATCCACATGGACGCCGCCCGCAACAGCCTGAAGCAGTCAGCCACCCGACACAGACGCTCGTAGGAGATGAAATCGTCGTCGATGTGAGCGCCCATTTGCACCGCCGCGCGGAACGAATGCGCGATGCTGATGACGCTGGACTCCTGGTACGCAGCCATGTCGTCGTCCTCAGGTCTATCCTCGATATTCGCGCCGGCATACCACAGTGGAAGGTCCATGTTAAGATCTATCATGTGGGTGCAGATCGGCGCGCTGACGACGTTGCACCACTCCTCGCCGTACCACATTGCACACGCAATGTCCGTCGCTACGGACTCCAACGAGTACTGGAACACAAGGTTGTACCCCCTTGGGCGGTTCCCGAACTTGAAAACCCAGCCGTGCAAGATGCGCAGAGCTATATTCTCCACCGCCGCCGCACGGGAGATCGCTTGCTGGAGCTGTGATTGGTCTGCGATCCTCGCCACCTCGTGCTGGATTTGGGGACCACAACGCTCCTACCGAACCTCTCCTACCTCTTTCTACCGCCCTCCTACTGCGGAGAACTACCGAGCGCCCAGGTATTTAGTCACTGCTTAACAGCCATTCATCTAGTGCTAACCTTCCTTCTTGAATTCTGGCCAATTTTCCCAAAATCATCCAAGTTCCTGTGAACCAAGTAAGTCCTGCATCTTTCCGGTCAGAAGAGGCTACCTTGCGTCTCCAGTCTGCTTTGATACTTCTTCTGATGTGGAGCTTCGTTGCTGACTTGATTGCTCGATCTGACAGGAATCCTCCTTCGAACACACTTTTGTTACGCACTTCCCAAATGACCAAAAAGAGACAGGCTCTGATTGTTTGAGCCACGTAACCCCAGCCCTTGTCCAGGGCAAAACCTTCTGGAACGCCTCCGAAGAGGATCCAGCGATCATCCCAAGGGAACACTGGGCCGCTGATGCGTGCCCAGTTTATTTTCCACCATGCCCATACTCTTCGAGAGAGAGGGCAAGACAGCCACAAATGTACGGTCGATTTGAAAGGCCATCGACATCTAGTACAATGTGTTGCTATAGGCATGCCCCTCTCAGCTAGCCAGACAGCCGAGGGGGTGGCCAGCAGAGAGAGTAACCACAGGATTGTTGCAGCTCTCTGGTTAGGTAGTGTTTGCAACTGCTCCCAGCACCGTGTGATGTCCTGATTAATAGTTGTGTCCTCTGATGAGGAGACCTGACTCCAGCGCGTCGTTGCCACCATACTGGGGGTTCTCTTGGATCGTTGCAGCTCATACGGAAGTTGAGGTGGCGGAAGCCCGCTGGCGATGGCGACGAAGTACTCTTTGGTTTCGTGGACGATGTTGTAAAGTCTGCGTCCTTCACCCGTCGTCCAGAAAGATTTGTCATCCACCCAAAGAAGCGCACGGTCGATAAGTTCATTCGCCATTACTCCCCTGCGTGCCCAGCTTGAAGCGGCCTCGCCGCCATCGCGTTGGTTCGTGTTCTGTCCACGACCCTTCTCTCTCACCGTCGCCGGAACTGCAGTCTCCTCTCTCGCCGCCGGAACGGGAGGGACAACACCTGCAACAGCCACACCCGCGCCACCTGCCGCCTCCCCTCCTCCTGCACGCGCGTCTGCCACGACTCGGCCTTTCGTCGTCCGCAGCGCGAGCCGTCGACACCGCCGCTGTGGTCGCTTGTGTCGCACTGCGCAGGCGACGTCTCTCCAAAGGCTCGTCGTCTTCGCCGCCAAGGTCCACCACAACACCCTTCTCTTTCCACGTTTMGCGGACACGCAGCTGCTGCGCCTCCGGCGGAGGGGTTGACATCCTCTTTGAAGCGCTCTGATCCGGAGTACGCTGCCTGGCACTCTCCCGTCCGGCAGACGCCATCGCCTCGCCTTGATCGTCCTCCGTCATGAAATCATCGTCGTTGTCCTCTTCCGCCAGCTGCGACCAACCTCGCGCACCACGACGCGGCACGCTTGCTAACGCATCATCCAAACGCAGCCTCTTCGCCTTCGGGACGTGCCGACGACCTTTCCCCTGGGCTTGGGTTTCGTCAAGCGCGACGTCGCGCTTCTTGCCACGGGCGTTCAATCGCGCAAACATGCTTGTTGGGGACCCCCACAAGCGATCTCGGTGTAGCGCTCGACTGACGTGTGCTGTTTCGTCGAAAAAGATGTCACCCGTCTCTTGCCAGCCTGGCCAGACAGGCTATCCCGACGACGCTGAAGATGTGTCCTCCGCTGCAGGATGACGATGACGCCCAAGCGCACCACGAAAGGATGATGTCCCCGGCGACACCTGTCCTTCGCGATGGCGGGAGTGCTCCGCGGCGAGAAGCCTGACTGCTAGAAGAGCGGAAGCGATGACGGTGATAAGCGTTGTGGCACTGCAGATGCGCGGCGGGAAGTGTGCAGCTGCCGTCCCGCTGGCGATGGCCCGACCGCGCAAGTCATGGGTGCAACGCGACGAAGTGTGGACTGCTCCGTATGCAGACTTCCATCATGCTCAACGCCACGTGCCGAACGATCTCCGTCGATGATGAACGTGCGACTCCCCTCCCTTCCGCCGCCAGAACACAACTCGAACCTCATATCAACTCCTCCGCCATCGTCGTCCCGCAAGCCTTGATGGAGCAATGACGTGAACTCGCCCCCTCCGTCGGGAGCCGACCCGCCCGCTCGCACCGTCTGCGACCACAACTGAGTCGAGCCGCTAGCGAGAGGCAACGTCGAAAGTTCTTCCTTCTCCGGCTCCTCGTCCGACGGGGGCAATGGCGTGTCCCACGACTCCAGATGGGTGTACATGGACGGGTCATACCGCCTTCGAGGCTCTGCCGCAGATCGAACTCCTCCCTGACCTGCGGCAGCAGCCGGTCGTGCCTGCATGCCCGCCATTAGACGTTCGTCTGCCGCCCGTCTCGTCGAAGCCCTCCTCTTGCATTGTTGTTTCCAGGGCCGCCACGAAAAACACACGTAGAGGAAGACGACAATCAGGAAGACGACGACAGTGAGTACCAGCAAAGGCAATCTCCTCCGCACGTCAGCCATGAAATTCACCTCTGCAGCTGCCCTCGCACGTGACCACTGCAGATGTGTGTTCCGACATGCCCGCGGCAGGGACGCTCGACCTTCATATGCGGACAACCACCACAGAAGATGACGAACACGTCCGCCTTCCTTTTGAAATTGGACCGTTGCGGTGCGCGCTGCCCGAAGCGGCTCCGTCTGTCGTCCTGCGCACGTCGACGTCCGACTCCGCATCTCGCAAGCGACCCAACGGTCTAGTACGGGCAACCACCCGCCGACGCTCGGCCCTCCACGCTCCACCCCCTCAGCCAACGGCTACCGCGTGTGGCCGTTGCCCGTGTCGAGCCGCAGAAAACCTCCGATGTCCGACCACCGCTTCTGGACCACCAACGAGTGTCGACAGTGCCATGCGCGCGATGCAACGACTCCGTGAAACGCAGGAATCCTAAATTTTTCAGTAGGTCAGGGGCTACTGTAAAATTAAGGACGATTTTGCCTGGGGAATCCTAAATCTTTTAGGACTCGTCCTAACGCCGTTTTCACATTTTCGATCTCTGATTTCGTTTTAGGACTGTGTGCAACGGCGACGCAATCCTAAAAACAGGCATTTTTAGGAGTGTCTAACGAGACCCTTAATAAAGTACGCAGTTCGCTTCTGATGCTGTTCGTCAGATCTAGTGGACCAATGAATGAGAGAGAACGAACTGCTGGGCAGACAATGGGTGTGATATGAGAATGGAGATTTTGCACATCACTCAGGGCAGGTCAGGGCAGACTCACAATAGCACTTTTCAAAATGCATCTGACGGCAATTACGACCAGATCTGGATGCATCTGACCACAAGCACGTCCAAAAACAAAAGAAGAGGTCTTAGGGTCTCGTTAGACACTCCTAAAAGTGCCTGTTTTTAGGATTGCGTCTTGGTTGCACGCAATCCTAAATCCAATTTTTAGATCGAAAATGTGAAAACAGCGTTAGGACGAGTCCTAAAGGATTTAGGATTGCGCAGGCAAAATCGTCCTAAATTTTCCAGTAGTCCCCGACCTACTGAAAAATTTAGGATTCCCGTGTTTCACGGACTCGTTGCGTCGCACGCATGGCACCGTAGACACGGAGTTGCTGGTGCAGAAGCTGTCCGTCGGATCAGTGGTTGGACATCGCCCACGAACGGTAGCCGTTGGCGGGGATTGGACGGACGTTGGCAGGAATGGATGGACATTGGGGACGCGGCTGCGTATACGCATATGCAAACCAGCCGCGGAAGACCTTTTAGGACGAATCCTAAAAGATGATTTTTAGGATTGCGTGTAACGATGCCACACGAAATCCTAAAAATCCTTTAGGACTCGTCCTAAAAATTTTAGGATTCTTTTAGGAGTGTCTAACGAGACCCTTAGTGTGAGTATGCAGACAACGGGTGCAATATGAGAATGGAGAATTTGCACATCACTTACGGCAGGGCAGACTCACAATAGCACTTTTCAAAATGCATCTGACTGCAATTATGGCCAGACGTGGATGCATCTGACCACAATCATGTCCAGAAACAAAAGAAAAAAGGTCTTAGTGTGAGTATGCCCTCAGTGAGAACATTCCATCCCGCATATCGAAAAAGCACAAAGCCTATGATCTCAATCCGAATGCGGCTTTGTTCCCGACTCAATGACAATATGTGCTATGTTGATCCTGGTCAGCTCATATTGCAAAACTCGAAACGAGACAATGGGCCTCGCTCCACTACACAGCATTCTACATGTGTCTGGAAAGACACATTTTGACCAAGTGCATTCAGACTCATCCAACGTTCGGATTGAATCGGGACCATTATTAGCTCCAGAAACATCTATAGTCGAACGTGAGTCTTTTTCCTGGTTCCCACCTCCTTCATCCTCCTCCTACCCCTACTACACCTCCATAGCCAAGCTAGAGGTCCTTCTCCGTCACCTCCATTCTACCTCCTCCCTACTTCACCTCCGTCGCTATGGAGGTCTTCTTCATCACCCTCCAGCTACACCTTCTTTTCCAGGACCACCGGCGTTTCTTCCTCTTGGCGGAGCAGCAGCATGACTGCTGGGTGAATGAGCGGACTGCTCGTTGCCCCGACTGATATACTTCGCTGCTGCCTCCTAGCCGGATACTTCCTCCCTCTCCACACCTCACTTTGGTGCACTGGGCCTAACGGGTGTTGCCTCCTTTTGGGCGGTACAACATTGCAGACAAAAATTTTCCCTACAGGCCCTCAACCTAGACTACTTACCGGCCTACATTCCGTCCTGACCTTGGCCGCATCCCTGTTTCTGCCTTGTCCCTGTCCGAGGCACAGCCACAGAACGCGCCCAACGCAGACCCAAACTTGGCCTCAGGCAGGCACAAGCCATGATGGCACATGCACTAAGTGGTAGATCACATACACACTTAGCCAACACAGCAAACCTCAGCAGAACAGACTCAGGGGCTCGTTAGACACTCCTTGTGACATCCTCGGGGCCGAAGGAAGTTTCCTTCGGGATTTTGAAGGAAATTCCTGCCATCGTTCCACCTATCCTCCGGGTGTTCTCCCAAGGATGATTCCTTTTGGCCCCCAACGACCATTTTCATAATATTATAGTCGGTCGTGGGGAGGGCAATGCCTTGCTCCATTGGGTGACGACCGTCTTGCTACGGTGTGGTCCAACTGCTGAAGGCGGGAAATTTTGAAAGGCGCTGGCGACGGGTGACAAAAAAAAAACTTAAAAAGAAATGGACCTCCCCGTTCAAAAATAAAATTTTGAATTGGGTGCTGGATGTCACGACGACGACGCATGGTAGGGGGGGGCGTCCATACTGGCGATGGTGGAAACAGGCATTTGCAGCTGTGTAGTGGAGTCGTCGTAAGTTGTCACAAATTTGTGAGTGCCCCATGAAGGTCCATCGTCATCGTCTCCTCCTGTCGCCCCGCGTGTGTGTAGAGTCGAGCACACCCGGGGAACGTCGTCGGCGACTTGGCGCTGAAGTTACCATGGCCGCGGCGAGTTCGTAGGCTGTTGTATTTTCACGGTTCATGAGCATTGCAACACACGTGCCGATGGAGGGCGGCAGCGATGACGAATGAGCGAAGTTGACGACATCGAGAAGACGGTCGTGGCAGCGGCTGTGACGTTTGTGCTCTTTCATTGTCAGCAGGAGAGGGCATTGGGTAGAATGAGAGCGCAAATCCACACGCGGAGGAGGAAGACGCTTCATCCAGTCCCGGTCGAAGGGCTGGACACCGTGGCCATCAACGAGGCTGTAGTTCAGGTTTGTTGTGCCATGTGTTGCAGTGTTCTTCCACGAGCGACGCCGAGGTGGCGGATGAAAAGGAGGACGGGGGGCATGGGAGGATCTCAAGAAATGCGATGACCTGTCGGAGGAGTGCTTCCGGAAGAAGCTGCGTATGTCGCCACGTGTCTTTCGGGCGATGGCGATTGCATCCAATGTGGATGACACCCACGGGAAGCTGCGGATGTCAATGTCGACTGCAGTCGGTGTCGATCCCTCATCTTCTCTGCTGGAGCCCTTCGATAGAGGTCGGCCAGTGGATGAACGTCCACGGGATGCTGCGGATGTCAATGTCA